GAGGGGGAGGGAAATGGGAGGCTGGGAGGAGGCGGAAACTTTTTTTTTCTTATTCTCAATAAAAAAAAGATAAAATAAAAAAAAATAAAAAAAGTCTTCAAAAAAAAAAAAGAAATAATAAAGTTCTTAAATTTTCTGCACATTCCCCAAGGTATCTCTCAGAATTCGGTTGCAGTCCAGAGAGTCAAGGGAGAGGGAACCGAGTGAGATACCTCTTCCTCTCCTTAGTATTCTCTAGGAGTTGTAAATTTTCTTAAGATATTCTTTTTAAAATTTTATACGTATGGTCGTTTTTCCTGCATGTGTGTCTGTGCACTATGTTCATCTAGTGCCTGCAGAGGCCAGAGGAGGAAAATCAGATCCTCTGGAACTGGAGTTACAAAGGATCACGAGCTGCCATGTGGGGGTAGGGAACTGAACCCTGGGCTTCTGCAGGAGCAGCAAAGGCTCTTAAAAACACTGATCCATCTCCAGCCCTAGATTATGAATTATGAATTACATCATTTACAAAAAAATCGAAACCATCTTCAAAAGCAATTGTAACTTTTAGCATGTATAAGTAGAGATTCCTGGGCTCCATCCTGGACCAAAGTATTAAATGAACATGCTCTGGGGTGATGAGATCTGAGGACCCTCACACCAGAGTTTAGAGTAGGACATGGATTCAGACTTCAGCATGGACCAGAGTCAGCTGGAAGATTTAAGCCACAATGCTGGGCTGCGTTTCCAGAGATTTTGATGCAGTTGGTTTGAAGTGATGCTGCGGTTGCTGCTGCTGCTGCTGCTGCTGCTGCTGCTGCTGCTACTTGGGGGCTGTGGGTGGGGGCGAATGCAATTTGTCAACCATGGCTTTAGGAGCCAGGAAAACTGAATGTGGTTCCAAACCAGGTATAGTGGTGCACACCTGTAATCCCAGCACTAGAGAGACACAAGCAGGAAAGCTGCAAATTCTAGCCCAGCCTGAGCACCATAGAAAGCCCTTGTCTGAAACAAAATCAAACCAATATTCCACATACACGTGCCCTTCCATGTCCAAAAGTGATTATTTTCAGGATCTCCGAGGAGGATGCTCATATTTAACAGCATGGTATTCATGTTTTGTTTCTTTTTTTTCTTTTTTCTT